TGGTGAGGTCTATGACTCTGCCTGTTCATGATATGAATATCCTACCATTGTTAAACGTAAGACTTAGTTAACTCACTGCTACACATTAAATGTTGAAGGCAGACTAGCCACAAATGTACGTGAATGACAAATGTAACCTAGTCTATATTGCAACACTGCACCATCTAACATAAACTTTCTTTAAATTTAATTAAAAAAAAAGGATTTACAGACATATGTTTATCTGCAATTTTGTCCTTGTTTTGGTGTGAGGAATCTCCCCCTGAGGTTTGTGAGAGTATTTTTGATAACCCTATATTAAATTCCAGTTGATGGTTACATTTACTTACATACAAATACCCTTGTAAAAAGCATGAATCTATCTCATCTCCCCCCCCATGGATAAATCAGCAGGACATTCTGGACACTATAGTCTTGGTTGGCAACAAATCTAGGAGAAGGAAAATCTGACTTCAAACAGCATAGAAATTGTTGGGTTCTGTCATGTTATCTTGCCCAAAATGCATGACTGCTGCAGTATGTGTGGTGTCCCTTTGACCCAATTTTATTTTTTATTCATTTATTTTTTTAGGTCATCTCTTTCTAAGTTTTTTTTTTTTTTTTTTTTTATGCACAATAAAAAAATAGAAAATATACTTTTTGCTGGCCACCCCAATTCTTGGTTTTAGATAGCTTACTTTGACAGTTGCAGCAAACTGACATTGTATATTTTTAAGTGGATTTGTCAGTTGATACAACACATATGTGGCACATTAAATATTGCTTTGAGACAGCCACTGATGTTCAAGTAAAGTTTATTTTACCAGGCAACATTTTTTTTTAATTTTTTTTTTTTTTTATGAGAACATTCAGAATTCATCTTTTTATTATTTTTTATTCTTGTTTTGCTTGGTCCTTTTTATTATAAACTAGCAGGTTTGTGAAACCTTGCAAGCAAATTAATTTCTACAACTTTCCGAACATGCTGAAATGGTTTTTGTCTGTGTCACAATGTCTTACATAATTTATACTTCATTTTTACTGTTGGCATAATTATATATATATATATATATATATATATACACACACACACGACAAATTTTTTATTTATATATATATATATAATTTGTCTTCAGTTTTATTGTGATTTTTACAACAAAAAAAATGTCAAAAAAGGATACTGATGCTAAGAGGCTCGTTTAATTTCTATATTTTTATTCTACATTTAAATTATTCCAATAAAAGCAGTGCAAATTTATATTATTGATTTATTGATTTTGAACTGAAAAATCTAGGAGAGATAATTATTGTTGGGATTTATATGAGGATTGCTCCAAAAGTAATGTCTCGTTTTCTATCATGTTGGCCTATGTCAGAAGGTGTTGATGATACAAAAGTTGGGATGGTTAAACGTTCTGCCAATAACCGTCATTTTCTTTGTTACAGATAGCAAATTGCAAAATTAATATCTGACATGAAAGTAAAGATTGTTCCAATAACTTGGACCAATATTAAAATGTGAATTAAGTTTAGGCGTCTAATGATTTTTTTTCTTTTTCTTTCAGATTTAACAACCTCAGTCTTTGGCAATTTCAACCGTGGAAAGATTAACAATTAATGTGTTTCAGTTATTGAAGCCTATTATGAAAATAGATGTTCAAACAGAAATGCATTTTGCACACTTCGCAATTTGTTTTCTTTTTTGGTCAACAATCGACCAAGAGTGCAAGTGGAAATGATGTAACATTGTTGTGGAAAGGTTCAATTTCTATGCATGATGACGAATAGAGGTGTCTTGATTTTTGACCACATTCTCCTGCACTGCAGCAATGTTTTCAGCTGAACAGTGTAAATGAGTACACAATGGTGTTTTTGCATTTGCCACTGGCCCAGTTTGTTTAAATTTATGAACAATTTTTCCAATTGCACTCTTGAAACTTTAATGTGTTGTTTGATTGTTAATCTTTCCATGGTTGAAATTACCAAAGACTTAAGTTGTTAAATCTGAAAGAAAAAGAAAAAAATCATTAGACAGTTAAATTTAATTCACATTTAAAATCTGTCCAAGTTATTGGAATACTCTTTACAAATAAAGCATAAATATTTTATTGAATTCTTCCATATTGAAAAAAAAATTTGCAGCCTTTGTTATTCATGGAAACCAAACAGTGGATGTAAGCACAGTTAGGTGGCAGTTAATGTTTCAGTAGTGGCAACAGTGATTTTTGTTACAAGTCATATTTTAAGTGGCCCTGCATAGATGTCAAGTAATGAAATGAAGTGTCAAAAAAAAAAAAATGCATACCTAATAGGTGTGACTATGTTTGTAGCTGAAAACTTGCTCTATCCAACAGTGTTATTGTGCTCCCTGTATCTGTTCTGGGTAAATAAATAGAAGGCATTACTTTCAGCATTTTTCATTTTATATAGAATAGAAAAAAAATGTTGTGTAGTGTGGCATGAAAATACACATTTCACACTTTGTTCTGCACAATTTCATGAGGTGTGTAGCACAGCCAAGTTTCCACAATGTACTGCTCTCACAGAAGATGCATACAGAGTTGATATGCCATTAAAAAAATCAATCAATTTCTCAAATGCCAAAATTGAATTTTCTTGAACTTTGAAGTAATAAAAATGCTATTCTGCTTTCACAATTGAATACATGGTAGATGATACTCAGCTTTTGTACATGTTTGTGTGGACACTTTACTACCTGGAAAGAAAATAAAAAGTTGCCATAGTATGAAATTAACCATAAAATCTTTCAAAGCTGGAAATGAGGTTTTCTTCTGCATTTACAAGGCAGTAAAGGACATTGGGAAGATGATGAAATAGTAAATCACCTTGGAAAGATGATGTATACAGTATGAGGTTATAATTGGTGACATAAAATGCATTTAAACCAATTAAAATGAAGATATGCTCAGGAAATTAAAAAAACAAAACAACAAAGAGATTTACCTATGGAAGTGCTGTATGATACTTTTGACTTGCCAACTCCAATTATAACAACTTGAAAAAAACGTGGGAAGTTTTGGAAGTGAACCCCAAAAGAAGAAAATATGTATTCAAAAGAGAAAACGTGTGTGAGAGAGGTGATGTGTAGAAACATGATTGACCTCTACACTAATGGTTGAACATAGGTTCATCTATTCACTATGAGTAGAATACCTGATCATAAAAACAGGATTGCAAAGTGTGTCACATGCATTGCCACACTAAGTATGGTATTCACTATTATTGTATTATTAATCCATATAATTAAACCTTTTCTTAACTAATCTTGTGTTCCAGTGTTTTACTTGGAATGTTATTAACCAGAACTATGAACTTATACAAGCATTATAACACAAATATACAATCATTAAAGGGAATGAAAATTTGGATGGATTTGTTTAATAAATCCTATCAGTGATAAGACTGCTTATATAAATGGCTAGTTAATAATTTGCAATGCATTCCTATAGTAAAATCATTTCCAATGAATTTCTATCTATGCTTTTAGTATTTGCTATGTCACTATATATGTAATCATTAGAGGGAATGAAAGTTTCGATGGATTTGTTTAATAAATCCTATCAGTGATAAGACTGCTTATATAAATGGCTAGTTAATAATTTGCAATGCATTTCTAAAGTAAAAATGTATATGAATTTCTATATATTAATTTTTGACTAGTATTTCTTTCATCTTATTTCCCTTGCTTTTTACACCTAACAGTAATGATATTAAGTTGTTTGAATTTCTTTCATGAAGTATTGTCAATACTTATTTATTTTTTACTAGTGTTTCTCTAATCTTATTTCTCTTGGTTTTCTGCCCAGTAGTAAAAGTCTTAAGTTAAAGAGTGACAAGACTTTATAAGGAATTGTTAACCCAATTCTAAAGAGGAAGTAAGATCTATTAAGTTTTAACTTAATTTAGTGTGTTGGCTACTTTGATAATTAATGTATATGATTTCTTATGATAATATTTCATAATACATGAGATAATGGTAGTGAAAAGGTACATGCACAAAATAAGAGACTGGTTGATTTGCAATGCAAGATAACATTTATTTAACAAAATAACAAAAGGAAAGTTTTAGTTTCTTTTTGTAGATGTAAATTGCATACACAATGAAATGTTAATGAATGTATTTGAGTGTAACTTGCCTGTGTAGGTATGTTTTAGTGTGAAGCTTCTACAGCCCTTTTAGCTTCAGTGAGAAAAGTTCATGTCACACACTTTGAAAGAAGGAAAAACAGGATGTTACCTTAAGGCTTCTCATTGTTTTTATATCAACAGGGCTGCTACAGATACTATGTTTATTAAGGCACTACAGTACCCTCTTTACCAAAATAAAATCAAGCAGGATTTAACATTATTTGATCTTTCTTTTTACACAAAAAATGTACAAGAAATATGGCAAGAGAGTTCAGTACTACCCAACAAAGGGATTGAACTCTTTTTTTTTTTTTTTTTTTTTTTAAGCATTACACCTCAAGCAAGGCGGGAGTGCCACTAGCACACAAGGGGTTACAGAGAGTGGGAGCAAGAGTTAAGAGGTGTGATTGAAGAAAGGATGAAGAGAAGGACCAGGAATAGATCAAGACATCTGGAGATGTTGATTGACATTGCATTTGAATATTTGGAGATTATAGCTATCAAGGAAGTAAGAGGAAGGGAGTTCCACAGACAGGAAGTGTGAGATATGAAGCTATTGGAGTAGAAGAGATGACTACATTTAACCGTTTCGACAGTGAAAGGGTGGGACTGAGATGCCAACCTAGTAGCACATTTAAATTCATGCAGTTTAGCTACCAGTGAAAGTAGCTTGTCAAGCAGTTACTGTGAAAGTATTTGTAGAAAAGACAGGGAAGTGACAGCACGTCTGTGGGAGAGTGACCGCAAATGAGATGCCAGCTCAGGGCCAATTACATTACATATCTGTCATATAATAATTTTTCTCATTTTTGTTGTTGTTTAATTCAAATTTCTGTAATTTGTTTCTTTCTAATTTTGCAGCCCAAGCCTCTATGGAAGAACTTCAGATCCAACCACATCAGCTTAATGTTCATTCATATAAATCCCCTCACTTTTGTGATTTCTGTGGAGAGATGTTGTTTGGACTTGTGAAACAAGGCTTGAAATGTGATGGTAAGTTGGCCATTTTAGAGTTGTTCCTTATTTTTCTTATAACCTCTTGTTTTATGGAGGCTTGTTAACCTCTTGGATGCACTAAAAGAAGAAAAATATAACTTTTACACCCACCTCAACTGGTACGTTACACTATATGATAATTATTCAAATTTTGCCCTCAAGGTGAAATGCACTATTTATGATGCATTTTAACAAGATGAATTCAAATATGGTAGTTAAAATTACTTATTGCCTATCGTTTCAAAAAATATCAGTTTTTGCATTTAGTTTCTTGCTTCCCTGTCAACTTCTATGTGCTGTATCACTTAAGGATGTGGACAAACATGGCTCTCCACAATTTTCTGTCCTTTGTCACTCTTAATAAATTTTATCTCTTTGTTACCTCTTATAATCCCAGTTTTGCTAACCATTTTCACAAACTCATTAGATAAATTCTTCACTACATTCCTCTGGCCTTCAATATGTCATTCTCCAAACCCTCTTTCCTCATTAAGGTATGATGATAAACTACATCTGGCAGCAAGGGAAGTTTTGAGGAGCATGTTCAGTCCATTGTATTCTCAGTATCTTTCTATAGAATCATATTTCTGTTGCCTCAAGTCTCTTCTTCATTTGTGAAGAGATTGTCAAACATTCATTGCCATATTGGATGACCAACATTATCTAACAGTTCAGTATTCTTTTCTTTGTTTCTAATGAAATTTTCGAGTCAACTACAATCTTCAAAAATTTAAATGCAGTATTAATCATCATTTTCTGTCTCATTGAATCCAGCCCTCTTAGTGTTCTCTTTCTTTGGTACTCGGTAGCTCCTTGCATCTTAGTGACTTTTTCCCTTCCTTGGAGCAAAATGATTAAAAAATTTGTATAATGTGTATGGACATACGATATGGTCATTAATAAAAGCAACCAAAATTAAATATACAAGGATGCTACATGTTGGTTTAACTCTATCCTGGAGACAAAAAAAAAGTCTCAAAGAGAAACGGGATCTGCTTCTGCTGAGAATACCATGGACAGAACACATGAAAAATAAGGAAGTTTTAAAGAAAAGAGGAACTAGAAAGGTTCTCATATTTAGATCAGAAAGAAAAGGTTGGAATTTTTAGGGGATACCAATTGAGAGCCAAATTAAAAAAAATGATGGTGGCGGATATTTTTACAGAGATTATTTTCTTTCATGAAAATTAGAAACTTTTATTTCAGTTCAAATTATTTGTAAATGAATAAAACTGTAAATAAAATTTAAATTCAAGTTCAGTTCATGCCCCTCCCTTGTTTTTTTTAACAGGAGATGTTAATACTTTGTTTCCTGTTTAGAAATGGGCTTTTGGTTCCTTTTAAAGTTTTCTCATTCTCTTTTACTCTCAGTAGCCCCTTGTGTCTTAGTGGCATTCTTGCCTTGCTTGGGGTGAATTGTTTCAAAAACAAAAAAAGTACATTACTTAATTCCTGATCTTAGCTCTGAATCAGGCACAAGGACACACGTTTCAAGCACCTAGAGATGACACTAGTTATGATTTCCTCGACTTCAATTCATAGGTAAGGCTCTTTTATATAGGCAAAAGGGTAAAATTTACTTTTTAAATATATACATTATTTAATTCCTGATCTTAGCTCTAAGTCAGGCACAAGGCCAGACATGTTGAGCACCAGAGAAGACCTCATTCGTGATGCCAGCTATGCTTTCCTTGACCATTAATTCATGGTAAGGCTCTGATAGATCTTTAATGAACTTAGTTTAGTCTGGCACAAGGCCAAACTTTAGTAGACACCAAGCAAAAATTGAAATTAGTTCACAGTATTAACAGTCTGTCAGATTAGCTTGATAACCATTGCTCTACAGAAATCCCTTCAGGATGTGGACAATCATGGCTCTACACAATTTTCTATCCTTTGTTGTTCTAAGTAAAGTTTATTTCCTTACTACCCTCTCCAGTCACTGTTCTGCCATCCATTTACACAAGCTTCTTAGGCAGGATTACTCACCCCACCACCATCTAGCTTTCTTTTATTTACTGTGCCCTATGAGTATCAAATTCTCCAAGTTCGGTTTCCTCATTATGTCTCCTAGAAATTTCATCTCTTTCTGATTCTAAATATAATCATCCATTTGCTTTCCATTTTCCTTAAAACTTTCTCATTACTTACATGGTATTCTCAGCATCCTTCTGTAGAACTGCATTTCGCTTGCATCAAGTCTCTTCATTTCTGTTGAGGTTGTCTAGCATTCACAGTCATATAGGAAGATTGATATTACATAGCAGTTCAGCACTCTTTTCTTCGTTAAATATCCCTGTTAATACTTTGCTTAGCTTTTCGAAAGCATTTTTCTGCTATTCCAACACATTCAGTTGGTGTAAAAGGCAACCTTTTAACCTTAAAAAAATCCAGAAAATAGGGTTGTCTTATACTCCAGGTATAAAATGTGAACCTTAGATCCTGTGGTTTATGGTAACTTGTTAGCATGAGAGATTTTTGATGTTATGTTAACCCTTGGTAACAAATATTTTCTACTGAAACAACTTAACTCACATTATTATAATAAAATAACAAATGCAGAGTCATAAAAAGTACTCATACCTTATTTAATGTTGTATGATTGCACAGCAAAAATAAAACATATTCATCAAGAGAGAAATCCAAATCCATGATCACACACTATAAACAAAGCAACTGCTAGAATTGGGTGTGTTCAAAGAGCTTTGCTAGACAAAGCATTCAGGAAAAAAGGTGTTTATAGTTATAATTCAAGGAATAGACGAGTAATAGTTTAGCCTACCAAAAACGTGGAACTCACTCATGAGGTGTTGTAGATTGTGGTAGTTAATTGACAATATCTTTCCATCATTTTTTCATTAGAATTTGAGTGAAAAAGTATATGCTTACTGAATTTAATTTTAAAATATGGTTTGGGGAGGGGTTGTATTGTAGGGCGAATATGGCCTGAAACCTACATTTTGACTTGAAAATTTGGAGGTCGTCTTATATATTCAGTCACCTTGTATGCCAGCACATACGGTACTGGTTTCATTTTGGCATTTCCAATTTTCTAAACCTCAATATTTTTTCCAGGTTGCGGCCTCAATTTTCACAAAAGATGTGCCTACAAGATACCAAACAACTGTTCACTAGAAAAACACAGGCGGCCTTCATCTGGAAGCATCAGGTCAGACACACCAACGGACACCCAGGTAAGGATGTCTCTTTTGATACATCTGTGCTATCCATTTGCACACTGGTTAAAAAAAAAAAAAGCTTACACATCACGTTGAAACACCAGTTCTCATATGATGACTGAAGTTAAGTAATACTGAATCTGGTCAGTACTGAGATTGAGGGATCACTGAAATTAAGCAATATTGAACTTAGCCTGTAGGTAGATGGGTAACTGCTTGGAAATATCAGTTGCTGGAAGCAGAAAGGTTTTGTCTCCCACTGAGACTTACGGACACATCACATTGAAATCCTGATTCCCATACAATCACCAATGAGCCTGAGCGACCACTTGGGAATACCAGATGTTGTAAGCTTGGATGTGCAGGTGGTGTGATGGATAATTGCAAAGAGCCAAGTTCCAATTCTCTTTGCATTCATTATATTGACTTATGTGCAAAAATACCCTTGGGAAAGGTGGGAATCCACTTCTTCCACCAGCTATGACTTAATTAGTAAAAATCATTATCTCAAAAAAAATTCCTAGGATCTCAAAATATTGTCTGCCCCTTAAATAAAGGGTTGATAGTCTGTAAAAAAAAAAAAAAAAATACCAAATGAAGTTGGCTTGGCTGTACCTCTAGGCACATAAATGCTACAAATTTAAAGTTTAGTGTTCTCGTCTCTTCAGCATTTCTCACAATATATAACTATAACTGATGTTTGTTATATTTTGTTCCCTCCCCTACATATGATTACATTAGTAAAAACATTTAGTCTGAAGAAGTACTTTTGAAGGACAAAAACTGTCACATATGAGGGGTTTTTTTTGTTTTTTTTTCTTTTCTAGTTTTTCATTCTAATTGAATGACAGTCTAGAAAAAAAAAAAAAACCTCCCACCATAAAACTAAATGAAGAAACCCTGAAATTTCTTTATTAGGTTTCTATTCTGTGGGTCACTCTATTCCTCCACCCTCTGGGGAGAAAAAAGAAGTTTTTACAACACAATACATATTTTTAATTTTGCTAGGCAAGTGCTGTAAAATGTACATAGGACACTTTCATGTTTTCTCATTTGTGAAGTTCCTGGTTAAACCATGCTAAAAAAACACCAGTTCTTGTTTAATCATCAAAGTTAAGCACTTTTGAACTCAGTCTGTACTTAGGTGGGGAGATACTTGGGAACATTAGGCACCATAAACAACCTCCTACAATCTGAAATATGTTTTGGCTTTAGGGTTGATAAGCCATAAAAAACAATCACTCTTATGATTTTAATGAAATCTGTGTCAGCCGAGGCGCAACTTTCAGAGTGAGCCACAAATATATTTCCATGTGCAGGATAATTAAATACTTTTGGTCCTTCAACAGATTTTAATTTAAGAAATGATTGGTCATGATAAAAGTTGACTGTCAACAGTTTATTGCTTTGATAGATGAGGGTGGGTAAATTACTTATTGGTGGGGGTTCCAAGCTGCTAGTTTAAAACATAAGTATTGATTATATTTTATATCTGAATATTTGCACTATTTTCATTTGGACTATTGCCCTCATCTTTATTGTTATCCCCACATCGTTTCAGCCATTGTGCCCTGCAGCCTTCATCAGGGGTATATTCATCTGGCTAACCTACAGGGAATTTTGAACTGAATTTTTTTATTTAATCTACAGGGGGTGGGGGTTGTAGATTCTTCTCGTTTCATGTCCGCTAGGCTAGATATCCCTAGACCAGAGCAGTGTGACAAGAACAGTCTAACCCCTATAAATTAAATAAAAGGTTCAGTTCAGAATTCCTTGTAGGTTACTCAGAACAAAATATATCCGAGGAAGGCCAGAGGGCGCAATGGCTAAAACGTTGTGATAACAACAAAGATGAGGACAATAGTCCAAATGTAAATAGTGTAAATTACTGATTATAGTCTTAAGTTGTTTTCAGTTGGCTGTTTCGTTTCCATAGCAAAATGAGAAAGGTATCAGTTATGTGCTCCTCGATTCCAAAAGATATAGGTTATGTGTTCAAAATTAAAAAAAAAAAAACAAGAGAATTAGCCTGAAACTAATATTCAGAAATATTGATATATTTATAAGCATTAAAGTATAATTTTATCTATTATTTTCCTAACAGTAGATTTAATCCAAAGGTTTAATCTACAGACAACTTGATCTCATGGTTTGATCGAAGAGCTTGATGAAAGAAATCCTAGTCAAAAATGAATAATGGCTGATAATACTTCATCTATAATAATAAAATTCAAGATAATATGCTACCTGTGCACACACACACACACACACACACACACACAAATATATATATATATATATATATATATATGTAAATGTGCAGCTTATATTTTATATCATAAAAAACAATTTATACAGAGAATTAAATAGCCATGTTAATGTGATTAATGTCAAAATCACTTCACTAGTAGGACTTAATGAGACATTAACTTACTATTAATTCCTTGAATAACATCCTTATATTCAGGCTGCCTTCCATCTGACAACAACTCTAATATAAGGATCTTATTATTCAAGGAATTGATAGTAAGTTGATGCCTCATTAAGTCCTGTTAGCGAAGTGATTTCGACATTAATCACATTAACATTGCTAATTCTTTTGTATAAATTGTTTATATATATATATATATATATATAAACTACTAAGTTATAAATAGTTTTTAGATGTATACAGGAAATAATTTCTAAATGTAGGTTAAAAATAACTTCTATATAGAAAGTAATATTATTATTAATAATAATGGATTCAGTCTTTCAATGTGTTCATGGAATAAACTTTGGATTGAACGTCTGTTAAAAAACCTTATAATTTTTCTTCTTTCATTTCTCAGTTTGTAAGTTAGCGCCTGCATTATGTCCTGTAATAACTTGCTTGACCCCTGTCCAGAAATTATTGGTATAGCAGAAGTGGACAGTAAATCTCAAATCCAATTTTTTAACTTCCAGCAAGACTCCTGTCTTTCTAGAAAGAAAGAAGAAAAAGAAAAGGAAGATAGAGGAAGCAATGCCTGTGTGCATTTAATCTTTGCTTCAGTGAAATAGTATAACAATATGAAATATACCAGACTGAAATCATTGCTTACAGGAATAAAAAAAGAGCAAATTCTATGGAATTTCAATCGGTCTCATTCTGCATGATCAAAGAAAATGGAAGTCATAAAAACCTCTTTGAAAAAAATGCTGAAGCATTGTAACACAGTTTTTGCTCTCTTGCTATTTTAAATAAATTTTTTATTAGACTTCATTGTGAAAAAAATAAAATACTGCACAATCTCCTCTGGTTCTGGTCATAAAAATACTTTTGTTACACCCAAATTTATAATAATAACAAGAACAATATAGTAGAGTCATTGTCTTTAGATGTAGACATGAAATAAGCTTTGGAGTAAAGGTCTGTAAAAAAGGAAAATACTTTTGATACAACCTCATATATAATAGTAACATAAATGATATAGTGGAGTCATTGTCTTTAGATGTGGTCATCAAGTAAGCTTTGGAGTAAAGGTTTGTTAAAAAAAGATGCAAAATACTTTTGATTTGAATACAACTAAGCATATTTAAAGAAAAGATTTAGTAAGAGCCTCACAGAGAGCAATGCTGAAGATATTGTTAGCTAAAACATTAAGAAAAAGAAAAATCTTCAATTTAGCTATTGTGTTCATAACTTCTGTTTCTTACATTTAAAAACAACATATGTAAAGATAATGATGATGAGTGCACTCAGGTTGGAGTCACGATCCGTCTTGGACTCAAATTATGTGAGCGTCACAGATGCAGATGTGGAGCTTCCATCAATGAGTTTGGTCTGCATCCTCTCTCCTGCCATCATAGTGCCGGCCGCTTTCCACGGCATGCAGCAATAAACAACATCATCATCAAAAGAGGTTTGGATGCAGCTGGGTTCCCTTACTAAATCAAACCCATAGGCCTTGACCATGGTGATGGAAAGTGGCCAGATGGCATTACCATTTTCCCTTTTAAAATGGGTAAGTTGTTGATTTGGGATGCGACCTGTGCGGATACATTATCAGACGGTAATTTGATCGGGTCCATGGTTGAGCTGGGGTCCGTCACTCGGGATGCAGAGATGAAAAAATAGTTAAATATTCTTCTCTTGCTGATAGATTTTTTTTTTACTCCTGTGGGAGTGGAGACTTCAGGGTTATTGGCCATCGTTTGATGGCGTTCCTTCGGAGGATTGGCGCGATTGCGTCTCAATTAAGGGACGATCCTCGCGAAACAGAGTGGCTCTTACAGCGTGTCTCACTGGCGATGGTTCAAGGTAATGCTTTCTCCATCATTGCGGCTGGCAGAGGATAGCAAAAAAAAAAATTGTTTATAGTTTCTGGAATTGTCATCAATGATCAACTGAACTTGCTTTGTTTCAATAAATATTGCATAGTTTTCAAAAAAAAAAAATATTACTTGATATGGATATAATGGCGACAAGTTAAATCCATTTATTTAGAATTGGCTAGAAAAATATTAATTTTCTCTGAACAGAATCTAGCTTACAGCCATATCATATTAAAACAATGGTTCCCATGATTACCAAATTTAAGCAACATTGAGCCTGGTCAGTACCTAGATGGGTGAGTGCCTGCAAATAATGGCTTGGAATTGTTAAATGGTGAGCCACATTTCAATTCCAGTTGGGTTTGTGATATTCACTTACACACAAATACCCCAGGGAAAATATGAATCCACCTCTTTTCCCTCCCCAGCTATGGATTAATTAGTAAGATTTGTATCACTAAATCATTATCTCAAAAGAAATTCTTACAATCTAAAAATATTTTCTGTCTTTAAATAACCTGCAAAAGGCTGATAAGCCATAAAAAAACAACAAATCAATCAATATGAATGGAATCAGTTTAGAAAGAATAAATAGGGAGTTGTCTCTGTCTCCATGTTATCCTTGTCTTGTTTCTTTTATCCTGAATCTCATTTGTTCAATATGGATTTTGAATCGGGCAAACTTACTGTGGGCAATCTAGTGCCAATTTGGATTATTA